AATAAACTAGCATACATCGCCCTCGCTTTGTTCATATTCCCCTTAATCGATATGGTATCAAGTGGTAGCATGACAAAAACCGGTACTGTCAAACCAATATGGCTACGAGGGGCTACTAGCTCATGAAGTTTCTCTCTCTTCATATTTTCACTTCCTCCCAACAATGAAAATCGAGCAAGTTCTTGCACTGAATTCTTTGCATGGAGCTGGCACAACGATGACTTAGTTTCAGGAAAACTTACCATACTAGACAAAACGTGGCGATGATTCAACCTTTGATCATCATTTACAATCATAAATGAATTTGAGGAGCCAAGTGCCAACGCCATGTTTTTATGATTATGAAAGAAATGAGATGAAGGCTGGGAGATCATGTATATTATATTTATAGAGATAAGTTGTACGTTGGATTTATAAAGGAGACAAATTTGGTGGGGTCTTCTTTAGTATAGTATTCGCATTTTATTTGATTTATTTATTAGGAAGATAAGTTTGTTGAAAAAAAGGAGACAAATCGAAGTAAGAATTTATGTATTCGCATAGTCACACGTTTCAAAATTAAAATAATTTGGCGTGCCTTTTTCTAATCTAAATCAGTATTTATTGGAATTATTTATTTTTTTAATTTCGAGTTTTGTCAAATATCTTATGCTTCGCTGCATCGGCTAGAATTTTGCATATAACCGAACATTTATATTAGAATAATGCTAATATAATATCAGTGGTGATATATCACTCGTTTATGTGACATTATGTGATAAATTTAATTAGAAGTGAAATTATATAATTTATTTTATTGTACAACGATACTTATCACCTCGATAGTACAAGATAGCATTAGATTTTATATAAAAGCATGCTTACGTCCTATCGAAAATATCTCACTGATATTATGTTGCGAACGTGTCAACTTAAGTTTTTAAATATCTATATGTGATAATCAATGGTATAGGTAGGTGGCTTTCTTTTGGCCACCCCAATTAAACGTTGCTCATTTCCACATAATCGATGGGTGGCCTTAAATTTTTTGGCCGTCTCAATTAAAGCCACAAACACACAGGTGGATGAAAATAAAGAATCTTCAAAAATTTGATTTTTAGATGTGACCCACTAAATTCTAAGAGAACGCGTGACATCTGTAACGCCCCAATTTTTATTTTTATTTTAAAAGTTTGAAGTGTTCCCAAATTTATTATAATTTTTTTTAAACGAAGAAAAAAATAACATGCTCGTATAAATTCCCGTTCTTGAAAAAAAAAATAGTTTTCATTGTAATGGAAAGTGGAGTAAAAAATTTCACTCAACTGATTCAGAGAAAAAGTCACATAATATTTGAATAACATCATTCAATCGCCACTTAAACGAAATACAAATAAAACATAAATGTTAAAACGCCTAACTAATATCCATGTACTAAATTTAAAATTTACTAAATAAAATTTTAGCCATAAATGTGGTTTAAAATCATGTTTACTTGGCAACCCATAAGCATTCACTCATCTAATCTTTCACACGTCCTGCACGAACCGTTCTAATCTGAAATTTTGTAAGAGTGAGTATTTTTGAATAACACGCTCAGTAAGATAGTGCAAATTTGTATTCAACATAACATAAACATAAATGAAACATTTCATACTCGTCATTTTAAGATTTAGAGCAACTAATCGTGATAACAGATAGTTTAAAGAATTTCTTTAAAATTTTCACATCCCGAAAGATTTAACATAATTGGACAGACGGTCTATCTCAAAAGATTTAACATAATGATCGACGTTGCGATCTTAGGCATTAAATGAAATCATTATATAAATATCATGGATGGGCGGCCTTAATTTTTTTTTTAACCGACCCAATTAAAGCCCTCAAACACGGCAATCACACGAGTGGATGAGAATAAAGAATCTTCAAAACTTTGAATTTACACTACTTTTTAGTTGATTTTCAGATGTGACCCACTAAATTCTAACAGAACGCGTGAATGATGTGTTAACTTCTAACCAAGAGTATGCTTTCATTATCTTCATTTTTATCTTTTAAATGGATTATTAATTATGTGAATAATGTTATTTATCATCGCAATGAAAAAATATTGGTGAAATGACNATGCTTTCATTTTCTTCATTTTTTTTCTTTTAAATGGATAATTAATTATGTGAGTAATGTTATTTATCATCGCAATGAAAAAATATCGATGATATGATAACTCACTATCCTTCACATTTCGCTCTCTCTCTCTCTCATAAAAATCGAAATGTTCAATCTCATTATTTCACATTGATTGTCATATTACCGACGTCTTATCATCATAATCATAAATAGCAATAGTCTAATTCCTTTGATGGTTGATCACATGAGAAATATCGAAGGGGAAAAAAAGAAAACAAAATGATATATGAAGTAAATATGATTGATGAGTAGCTAGAAGAAAATGGCCTATGACTGAGAAAAACCATCATATGCTTTCCATAACTTGTACATACGTACACGACTAACAAAATCAAAACAAATGATAAGGTTTGTTTTTTTAACTAGTAGTAAAACCCGCACACATATTTTAACCAATCAATGCAAAGAAAATTAAAAAAAAAAATTGATATAATATTAAATAATAACATAAGTTTTATTTCAACCACAATAACTTGACATATCTTGATCAAAATAATTTTTTCTTGAGACCCATTTAAGTAAATTAAGGCGATCTATAAAATGAGATCTATATACATACATTTTTATCAATGTCTACTATGCTTAATTATTTGGCTCACTTAATGCTTATGAAGAAGGAAAAAAAACAAGTCATTTTTTGCCTCACTTATTATTTTTTTAAATATAGAAATTGTATTAATGATAAAAATGTAAATTAATGTGTTAATGATAAAAATTTAAGCACTAAATAAAAAGATAAATAAATTCCGGGATGTTACATCACTTCCCCTTTAAAATAATTTCGTCATCGAAATTACCTTATCTAGTCGAAAAGTTCTGGATACTTAGCTTCCAGCTCTTCTTCTTTCTCCTAAGTAGCTTCTTCAACTCCATGATTTTTCCATCGAATTTTAACCAAGACAACTTTCTTGTTTCTCAAAGCATGTACTCTCCTTTCAATAATTTCCATGGGAATCTCTTCATAAGTCGGATATTTCTACACTTCTAGTGAGTTATATCTTATCACATGCTTAGGATCATGTACATACTTTCTAAACATCTACACGTGGAATACGTTATGCACTGTCGATAATCTAGGTGGCAATGCTAAACAGTATGCCACATTTCAAATTCTTCTTAGAATTTCAAAATGACCTATAAATTGAGGTTTCAATTTTCCTTTCTTTCCGAATCTTAGAACCCCTTTTATTGGTGCAACTTTCAGAATTACTTTCTCACCGATTTCAAACTCAACTAATTTTCTTTTCTAGTCCGCATAGCTTTTTTTGTCTATCTTGAGTTGACTTTATTCTATCTCTAATCTTATTAACTTCTTGCACTGCCTTTGCAATAATTTCAAGACCCAAAATTCTATTTTCTCTGACTTTGTCCCAATAAACCGGTGATCTACACCTTCTACCATAGAAGGTTTCATAAGATGCCATACCAATAATACGCAAACTCTACTAATGGTAGGGATGACTCCCAACCATCTCCCAAATCCAGAACACATGCTCGAAGCATATATTCTAAGGTCTGGATAGTCCTTTCTGACTGTCCATCCGATTGAGGATGATAAGTAGTACCGAGGTTTAATTTTGTTCTCATAGCTCCTTGCAGGCTCTTCCAAAGTTTGGAAGTGAATCTTGGATCTCAATCTGACACTATGGAGGCTAGAACTCCATGCAACCTGATAATTTCATTAACATATAATTGGGCAAACTAATCCATGATATAATTCATTCTTGTTGGAAGAAAGTGAGCTGATTTTGTTAATATGACCACGATGACACAGATAGCATCATGTTGTTGACATATGGTGGATCTTATGTTTTAATTATAACGAACAAAGTATGTTTATCTCTAATATCTATATTTAAGTCTTCATTGTTACATGTTGCGTACTTACTCAAATTGAAAACAAAACGATTGGACGAAACGTTGTCGATCAAAAAAGTTAAAAACTAAAATCGGTCATTCACAATCGAGCACTCACGCCAAATCAATCGAAGATATTAGAATTATATATTTTTTTTTTTGGCTTGTTTGTAAAGGTAAAGCACTTTAATTCTGAACAATGACACATTGAAAGCTCAAGTGAAGGATTTTGATTCGCAAGAAAAATTCACTTCATAAAACGTTCTTGTATGAAAAATATTTTCTTTTAAGGTAAGGACTATCATGAACGGATCCACATGGGGTCTTGTGGGGTCAATTGACCCCACAATTTTTTTTATAACCAGAATTTTCACTTTTTAGATCCCAGAATTTTCATTTTTGACCCCACAGTTCATGACATCTGGCTCCGTCCCTAAGGACTATGACTTAATTTTCGATTATACTAAGCATTACTTATCTTGGAGTGTCAAGTAAATATGTGAAGCAAAAATTACAAATTTGAAAATAAAACAAAAAATTGGACCAAAATAATTTTGGTCGTCCGAACGTCTGGTTTGCCACAACGGTAAAAAAATCGACCATTCTAACTGATTTTCAGCGGCTACTTTTTGGGTAATCCGGTACTGTTCCCGACGTCCGGTTGGGTCGTTCAATTAGGTAGAAAAGTTGGCATTTCTCACTCCTATAAATACCAACTCATTTGTCATTCATTACAACAATTAGAAAACATTAAAGTGAGATTCTTTTGAACAAATAGTATTAATTTCTCATCCTATTTATTATTATAAAATCATTTTATTTTGAAAAACTTTTGAT